TTAATAGTATAAAATACATTGAGCATGTAGTTGTTCATTATGAAAATTTATAAAATCTTTACTAACTAACATTTTCAGCATTAAATGATAAGTAGGTAGTTTGTTACTTATCCTATTTTTAAGAAGTGCATAAAATATTAAGTGGTATGAGTTTTAGGTTACTAAACACGTTTAATTCATTAAATGTTTAAAATATTTAATTTTAAGCATTAAATGGTACTATCAAACAACCCCAAGGCACACTCTCAACATTGCACAAACGGTAAATAATGATATAGATGAAATGCTAGATATAAAACAAGCTAGACATATAGTGAGAGATGAAGATCACATTTTGGATGGTTCAAAGTATTAATCGATACTGATGTAATTCAATTGAATTGTATTTGGCACGAAATCTTTTGTTTCGAGACAGATACACGTTTTATGTAAACCACGAGTCTCACTCGACTTGTCCCGATTCAAAAATGTTTCATTCGACTCGACTGTGCCAAGGTCACAACAAGGCATATCTATCCACCTTGTCCAACTTTTCTTCCACGAATTAAATCTATTCGACTGTGTCTTATGTCAAATTTTTATATCCATATATAAATTCTATATACTCAAAACAAAAGGTGGTTGTCATTAAGTCGCTGTATAGTGGGATGGCGGACAGGCAGGCCGGACACCATTGAAAGGCTGGGCGTGAGCTGTCTCTATTTTCTTCTTTTAAGTTTCATTAACCCGAATACATCAACCTAGTATCTATATTAACTTTATTAGTATATTCTCTCGCATCTTAATCTTAATTCTAAACTGAATCTTAATTTCAGAATTTGAATTTAAATTGAGTTGAGCTGGAATTCAACTCGAATTAAAACTTATTCAGTAATTCAAGTTGGGTCTAGACTGCGTTTTTAGGACCCAAAAACTTTAGCCCACATATTATTCAGATTAAAATCGGGTTGGAATTTCTTAGTGAAGCCCAACTTGTGTATGGAAAATATTCGCCCATATATTGAATTTACAAGTTAGATTAAGATCGGATTCAGAGTATTTTTGTACAAATTATACTCTTAAACATGATGGATCCGATCATAGATGGGATGACTTGGGATAAATTGGGGGACGAGCTTTCCAATTTACACAGTTTTGATAATGAGTTATCCACATTTTGGTTAAGAGCTACCCATATTATACATTTTTGGTCAAGAGCTATCAAAATTATTTTTTTGTCCATATATAGGTATTACATGATAAGTTTATTAAAAAAAATGGTTAACAATTTAGATGTTGTCTACTTGAAAAATCATATAAAAATACATTTAATACTTCAGGAACCAAAATAATGTAATTAAAATATTATGAACTAAAATGAGACAAATTCTATATTTTGAGAACATTTAGTGTAATTAAACCCCAAAACAGTCTTGTTACCTAAAAAACACCAAAGCCAGAATTAAATTGGAGGGACAATTTGTATTAGTATACAAGACAAAAATATTATTTGAACTAAATTTGCAGATCAAATTAAATTGATGTTGTTGAATTAAAGATAAGTTTCATCTAATATTGAAAGTAATGATTAATAAACGACAGTAGTAGATTTGGTAAAATTACTTAGATCTAGGAATAATAGTGGATTAGGATGGGGGGCCGGGGAGTGGTCTCCATCCCCGTACCCACTTAAAAAATGTCGATCCATCTTCGGTCCGTTTTGTTAATAGGGGAAGTTTTAATCCTCACCCTAGTCTCGCGGGTAAATTTTGATCCCCAATCCTGCACCTAGCCTCGCCCCGCGACAAATTATGAGAAGGCAAAAAATTAATTCTATTAACAACACCTTAATAATTAATAAACTAAGTGCCAAATAATTAATTTGTATTTTAATTATTAATTTATACCTAACTTATTATTTATTTAGGAATCTCTAACTCTTTTAGGTATTTTCACATCTAATTATATTATAAAATTATAAAATTTTATTTTATTAAATAGATTGATTAGATCACTTATAATATTATTCTATTATTGCATACCAAAAAATAAAATATAATATATATTTGATAGAAAAATTCTATCAGGTAATTTCATAAATATAATAATTTAACATATATAGGACTTTTACTTTTTCATATAGATGTAAAAAATTATATGTAACTGTACTATTAATAAACGAGTTCAAAATAATTTAGACGTCTTTATAAAAGAGTCGAAAATAAGTTAAAAGTTAAATAAGAGTAAAAAATAAAAATTCGTTAAAAATATACAGGTGGGTATAATTGATTTATCATAATAATTATAGATAAAATATGAATCAAAAGTTTTTTACAGATGCTAACATTTATAAGTAGTATAGATATAGATATATAAAAAGTTTAACAGAGTGGGGATAAGTATCAGTCCAACTCCTCCTCCAGAACTGCACAAGTTTATACTGATATTATGTCCATTGTTCAATATGTATTGTCCATTCTCAGTCCAAATAAAACGATTTTGGACAAATCTCTATTTTGTCCAGTTCACTTTCATTAGAGGTGCAACTTGGGTAGGTTAAGAGGTCAATCTTAACCCAACCCTAGATATATAATTTTTAGCTCTAATTCTAATCCTATCTTAACCCCGAGGTACTCAACCTGAGTACTGGCTAAGTTTAATTCGGGCAAGCTCGTGTTGAATTCAGATTACTTAATTCAGGCTGATTCGGGTTAAAATAGGGTTGGACTTTGGTTACTTAATTCGGGTTAATTTTTTAAAGTGTAGATTTGATTTTTTAAAGTGTAGATCTGATTTTTTTCATGTGATCTGTGATGAAGGGCGAGACACAGATAGAGAGAGGGAGAAGTGACGAGTGAGAGAGAGATCTGAGAGTGATGGAGGTGCACGGATGAAGACTTGAAATGAAGTAAAAATTAGGACTCTAAAGAGTGAATATAAATACTAACTCTAATTAAATATATTTATATATTTATATATATTCGGGTTCAACCTGATTGAATAATCGGGTTCCACCCGATTTTAATATTCAGGTTGAACTCGGCAACTCAAGGCCTCAACCCAAGGTTTGCCCAAATTCAATTCGGATTGGAGTTTTTTTGCCCAGGTCCAACCCAAGTATTAAAAATTCTAACTCAAACCCTATTTTTTTTTGGGTTGAGCTCGAGTTGACCTGTCCAAATTTCACCCCTAGCCGTCATCCTTACTTGGATTAATAAAAATGGTCTGAATACCATTAAATAAAGGGCAATTTAGAAGCCAGTACAATTTTTTAGACTTATTTAGGCAAAAGTACAACTCAAAAACTTATTTGGGTAACGTGAATATTTTTTAAAATACCACTGTTGTCATCGGTAAACAATAAATATATGAAAACATATTATCTTTCATCTGTTCTTTTTTTTTTGGCTAAAATCAAGTGAGAGGTAAAATAAGGAGTTTAATTATCATGACCCATCTTCTTCGGCAGAGGGATTGGAATGCCAGAAGTGTGACTGTTTATCGTCCAAAAAAAAGAGGAACTCGAGTTACTGTTTATCATCCAAAAAAAAAGAGGAATACAAGTTACTATTTATCGTAAAAAAAAGAGGAATCTGAGTTACTATTCATCGTCCAAGAAGAATACGAGTTACTGTTCATCGTGTCTTACGATCATGTAACTGTGAATCATCTTCGACAACTTCTTCACCAAAAATTGTAAGTGACATTCATTTTTGTTTTTTTGTCATTCATTAATTTTTTTTCCCATAATCTGTGTTGTTTGATTTTTTAATTAAAAATAGTTACGTAACTGTTTTAACTAACTATTTGTGATTACAAATTACAAACTATTAATATTCAAAAATTAATGGTTGAAACTCTATTAACACAGTTACACTCATTAAAACACAGTTACATCCATTAAAAACACAGTTATACCAATTAAAACATAGTTACACCCATTAAAAAAAAATCAATTTCTTTTCCTCTTCATTCCAACATCCAGCAAACATAAAAACAAAATCGAATATAGGAATTTTTCAAAAAAAAAATGACCGAATAAAAGAAAAAATATACTTATTATGTCTATACGAAAAAATAGTTACACCAATTAAAACCAAAAGCAGTTTTTTTCCCCTTCATTCCAATAACGAACAAACATAAAACAAAATTGAACGTTGAATAAGACTCTTATTGCCGAGATCAGATGAACACAGACGTTGAAGAAAACTTTTACTGTAAAGATCAATTTTTTTTTCACTAATGCTACTGAGACATAATTGAAGGACATAATTTAGAGACATAATGAGTTGTCACCAATGAAATTATAGTGAAATGTATTTAATGATGGGTCTCATTGTAGTATTAATGAATTTATTATCATATCATTGGTGAAAACTCATTATATCCTCAAATTATGTCCCAATAACATTGCTCTTTTTTTTTTGAACAAACTGCAGAGAAATTTGAAGACTTTTTGTGTAATTGCATAAACGTTTTTTCTTATTGTAGAAATTAGTTGAACACAAAATTTTACTGTCTACAAAACTACTCATTCAAAATTTAAAAATTAAAAATAACAAATATATAATCTTTACATATTTATTTTCTCAAATAACTGTTAATGATAACTACATAAATTAAGAAAAAGTGTTTAAATAGAAATAATTTTAATTCATCTGAATTTTGCACCTATTGAGTCAGATGATGTGCTGCAATAGGGCCAGAACGAAAGTGAGTCAGATCCACTCCAATAAACTTTCCGTCAATTTTATTGAGGCATAAATAAGTGTGAGGAGGAGCGGGAGGCTGCTTTCAAGTCCGTGGGCCTGCTTTCATGGACTTATGGGCCTATGGCACACGGACTCTCATGTGTACCATTTTTGCGTTGGACTAAAGTTTCATAAGTTTAATTTACTATTATTGTTGAATTAAAAACGCACCTCATATCAAATATTACTAAATTACGACATATTGTTAACAATAAATTAAATCAATAAATTAAGTTAAAAAATATTATTATTTTCCCTTTACTTGCTCTGTTGCTGCCAATTTGGAGGCACAAAGATTTGACCCTCTCGCCAATTTACGGGGTGAATCGAAGTCTAATCGATATATTTTGGTGCATATACACAGTTATTATCCTCAACATGTGCAGAGCACAAATTACCCTCCCTATTAATTTTTGCTTACAAAATTGGCATGAATTGCATTTTGGATAATTATTTAGCTCGAGTCTGCCCACTCTTTCACATGCTTGCTTGCTTTCTCTGCCTGCAATTTTAAGTACAATTGATCAAATAAGATGCCATTTAGTACACAAAGAGAGCAGCAACATTGCAAGAAGTTTGTGTTTTAGGCTGTTACCTCTTTTTCCCAGTTGCATCGAAGGGTTGTGATAGCTAATATCAAAGTTTGAAGTGCCGTTCCTCCAAATATCATCCCGGCCCAAATACCCTAATTATGTGAATTCAACATAATTAGCACCATGCATATATATACACTACTCTCAACATTACCCTTGAAAGTGTAAGGTTGTCATTTTAAAATGATCACACGACAGATCTAGCAGGGGCACGACGCAGAGGGGACAAACGTCCTCTTGCAAAGAATAAAAGAAAATTTTGAAAATCCTCTGAATCATAAGAGGATTAGCTAAACACTTAAATTATAGATTTTTTTTTGTCAATTTGGAAGACAACCCTCTAACTTGACTTCTTAAAACTCTGTCCCTGAATAGCGGTGCAATTCGGAGAGGAATTGAGTTGGTTGACTTAGAGGTACTCGAATTGGATTTTGCTTGATCCATTCATATTACACTACAATCCCTGACCACATGTGATAACAACATCAGCTACATTTTATAGTAACATGAATGCACAAATACGTACCTTTACTCCTTGGTGGAAAACCCACTCCATCATAAATCCAAGTGGAACACCAACCATATAGTAGCATGCTACGTTAATGTACGCCACCTGAGATTGCCACCCCGATCCAACAGCGACCCCTGTAGAAAAATTGTTGACATGCTATTTGGCAAAATACTTGAACGAGAAAAAGACCAACGTTCATTATCTTTTGGACAGAAAGCGTCATTATGTCCGGACAAAGTAAACACAAGATCACCCATTTTGGGGGGCAAAGTGAAACAACATTCCTTCAATTGTCTAATTTAAGGAACGTAATAGTTGAAGGGGCAAAGTGCCACAAACTTCATAGTTTGAGGGGGAAAAATGTAATTGACCCGTCCAGTATATACCTGAGAGAACTGGTTGAACACTGTTGAGGAGAATAGTGAAGGCCAAGAGGATTGAGAGCTTGTTCACAGCTTCAAGGACAGGCTTGCTTGAAGAGAAAATGATGGCAATTTCATTGTGAAAAATCATAATTAGTAGCCAGAAAAAGAGTCCAATCACTATAGAGGTTATCACTGAGACTATTGCTGCAAATTTGGCTCCTTTTCCATTGCCTGCTCCAAGTTCATTGGCTACTCTTACCCTGCACATACGATCACAACATTACAAACTGGAACAGTGTTTATCTTTATCTTCACCATACAACTTTGGGGCATGGTTTTTCTGTAAAGAGATAAGGATATATGGGTCTTAGCACAAAGTTTAACATACATAGGGTATATTAGATGCTACGAAGGTAGGCCGTGGAGCGACAGTAAGCTTGCTCTATTAACTGGGATTTAACCACAGAATTTGTGGACTTAATTTGGTGTTCAATAGAATAATGCTATTGATGTATTAATGACAAAATTCAAGTTTACTTATTGGACATCCCCCATGAACATACCACAGGTTACTTTTTTTGGAAGTCGCATTGGGCTGATGGTTGTTGGTATATGGACTTAAGCTGCAGCCTCAGTTGCGTCAAAGGTAATAATCGATTGGAAGTCTATATATATATAATCCTGTTAAACAATAAGGACAAAAGTGACTGGGACATGTTACACACTAGATAATGAGTTCATGTGGTGGAAGAGTGGCCATCTGTTTCTGTTTGGACCAAAAAAAATTGAGCAAGAAACAAAAGTATTAATGTAGACGGGTTTGATTAGGGTAACAAACTTTTTTTGGTACCGTATTACTTATTATTTTTTAGGTGAAATTTACTAACTATTAAAGTGCACTCATTTTTTGAGTTCACTTATCATTTTTTACGGTTTATCACTTTTTGAATAAAANAGGTACCGAACTTTTTTTGGTACCGTATTACTTATTATTTTTTAGGCGAAATTTACTAACTATTAAAGTGCACTCATTTTTTGAGTTCACTTATCATTTTTTACGGTTGATCACTTTTTGAATAAAATTATTATTTTTCGGACTACTTTTTACTATTTAGTATGGTATAAAATTTTGCTTTGGGTAGCATAATATAACGACATAGGAAACCATACCCAAGAAATAAATGACCGAAAACAATGATGTCAAGAGAGTCTTACCCAGTTCCAGCAAAGAAGGCAAGAGGTATCATCATCTCCCACCCATTGATTGTCATGCTGCCAAAATTGACAAAACACCACACAATTGAGAACGCTAAATTAGTTTGGAGACTTAATTACAAAGGAACCAAAGAAATAATACAGTCACAGTGATAATAATTGTGATAAATCCTGCACAAAATTATTTAGTGATCCAATAAAGCACAAGACATTACCATATATGCTCGTGCTCAAAAAACACATGTGCCGTAAAAAGTATTTTTTTTTTTGATATTGTGCGGTATATAAGTTAATTATATAGAATTGACTATGATATCGAAAATGATGATAATGAGTCTAATATTAATGGTAATAATGATGATGACATGTACAAATTACTGACCATATGGACAAGGCATCCACCGCAATTGTTGCATTCTTCAGGTTGCNCATGTGCCGTAAAAAGTATTTTTTTTTTGATATTGTGCGGTAAATAAGTTAATTATATAGAATTGACTATGATATCGGAAAAAAAAATGATAATGAGTCTAATATTAATGGTAATAATGATGATGACATGTAAAAATTACTGACCATATGGACAAGGCATCCACCGCAATTGTTGCATTCTTCAGGTTGCCGGTCATCAAAATTAGTATTCTGTAGTACCAATTCTCCAAACTGTTTTATATGAAAATTCAAGAAATATATAATTAGTTCTCAAAATGAATCATAAAATTTGAGAGAGAGAGAGAGAGATATGCAATACCAAAGCATGAGTCCAGAAGATGCAGACAGCTTGAAGAAGTCCCAAAGACCANGGGTAACAAACTTTTTTTGGTACCGTATTACTTATTATTTTTTAGGTGAAATTTACTAACTATTAAAGTGCACTCATTTTTTGAGTTCACTTATCATTTTTTACGGTTTATCACTTTTTGAATAAAATTATTATTTTTCGGACTATTTTTTACTATTTAGTATGGTATAAAATTTTGCTTTGGGTAGCATAATATAACGACATAGGAAACCATACCCAAGAAATAAATGACCGAAAACAATGATGTCAAGAGAGTCTTACCCAGTTCCAGCAAAGAAGGCAAGAGGTATCATCATCTCCCACCCATTGATTGTCATGCTGCCAAAATTGACAAAACACCACACAATTGAGAACGCTAAATTAGTTTGGAGACTTAATTACAAAGGAACCAAAGAAATAATACAGTCACAGTGATAATAATTGTGATAAATCCTGCACAAAATTATTTAGTGATCCAATAAAGCACAAGACATTACCATATATGCTCGTGCTCAAAAAACACATGTGCCGTAAAAAGTATTTTTTTTTTGATATTGTGCGGTAAATAAGTTAATTATATAGAATTGACTATGATATCGGAAAAAAAAATGATAATGAGTCTAATATTAATGGTAATAATGATGATGACATGTAAAAATTACTGACCATATGGACAAGGCATCCACCGCAATTGTTGCATTCTTCAGGTTGCCGGTCATCAAAATTAGTATTCTGTAGTACCAATTCTCCAAACTGTTTTATATGAAAATTCAAGAAATATATAATTAGTTCTCAAAATGAATCATAAAATTTGAGAGAGAGAGAGAGAGATAGAGAGAGAGAGAGAGAGAGATATGCAATACCAAAGCATGAGTCCAGAAGATGCAGACAGCTTGAAGAAGTCCCAAAGACCAGAAAAGGCTTCAAATGAGAAGCCAGTCCAAGTAAGAGGACACCCACCACAAACAGTGTAACAAAACAACCCAACCACCAAAACCCACCAAGAAAAGTTCAAAGTCGCCGCTGTACCCACCACCCCAAGCTTCAACCCATACACCAACACCCAGCTCACCACCACATGAACCACCAGTGCCACCAGGGACACCCAAGCAATCACCGCCGTCTTCAGCTGACTCTGCAAGAACCTCTGCATCGGAAATTGAAAGGCAAAGCTGAAGTGAAGTGGGATCATCCACAAGGCCACCAAACCTGAGAGCTCAGCTACGTCTGAAGGCTGTCCCAGTAGCTTCAAAACTGGTGTTGCAAATATGTAAATGGGCAAAAGCAAAAGACAACAGGCGAAGAGAACAATCCATGATCTTTGCATATATACACCCAACATGTGGTATTTCTTTGCCCCATAAGCTTGCCCACATAAAGTCTCCAAAGCACTTGCCATCCCCAACTGATAACACCAACATATTAATCATAATCAGCATTGGTAACACATTAACTTTCATATGCAATATATACATATATGTAGATGTTTATATGTATGCATCTTCTTGAACAGAAATGGTGATATTGGTCTTCCATTAATCAAGAATTTCAAACGAGAAATTCAACGACTACAAGAAAGACTGATTCTTTAGAATCCTTCCTTTCTTCAAAGAAAATGTACTGAGATGGATAAGATAGATTCATGTCTAAAAGAGACCGACAATAAGTTCTTTTAAAATTGAAAATTTGTTCTTCTAACAGAGGTGTTACAGAAATGTCTAAGTTAAATGATTTTATGAACGAATGAAGCGGACCAAACTTACAAAATGGAAAGGTTTGTAAAAGGTTTACAGTTTCATACAATTTTGTGAAAATTCGTTAGTTATGAATTTATATTGAACTCAGGTGACTCGGTGCGTGGAATTAATAGTATCCCTCCCTGAACTTATACATATATGCGTATGTCTACATGGAGAAAGAAAAAACAGAGGGAGAGAGAGAGATGGGTTTAGTACCAACAGGCCAAAGTCGAAGCCAACAATGACATTATTGACAATGGAGATAGCAGCAAGATCAAGGTCACCAAGGTGACCAGCAAAAGCTTGGGTGATGACATTCATAGAATAAGAAGTGATGCGGCTGAAAATCGCAGGGCCAACGATGTACCAAAGCTTCTTTGATTCAATCCAGACCCTCCGTTTCAGATCTTGCTTTTCATGGTCATCTTCTTCTTCTTCTTCATACTCTGAACTTACGTTCGAATATGAATAGTCCAATAAGGGTGCTGTACTTTCCTCTAGCTTCCCTTCACTCCCCATGTTTCTTGCTATCCTCTCCTCTCCTCCCTAAGTTTCTTTTGGAAAACTCTAAAATAAGAGAGAGAATGCGAACGTTGGCTTGGTTTCTCTAGTATATATAGCCGGTTTTATGGTATATTTTTCGAATATATAAGTCATACTAAGATGATTATGATTACGTGGTCTATCATTAGGGCCAATAATATAGTCAAATTTTGTGAGTTGGAATTGGTTTTATCGAGCTCATTGTTTTAAATAAATTCAAAAATTATTCAAATTTAACTCGTTCAAAAAATAAGATGAACCCGAGCCAAGTCCAGAATGAGTCAAATTAGAGTTAAGCCCNTAAAAAATTATTCAAACTTAACTCGTTCAAAAAATAAGATGAACCCGAGCCAAGTCCAGAATGAGTCAAATTAGAGTTAAGTCCGAGTATCTCAACTCTTTTATACATAAACGATTCAAATTTTTTGAGCTCGAGCCGAGCTTTTGAGACTCGTTTTTTAAAATAAATTAAAAAAATTATTTAAATTTAACTCATTTAGAGTCGAGTCCTATCTGAACGGAGTCCTTATCAGCCCTAACAGTCATTGTTAATTAAATACACCACACATAATTTTTCATATCTAAAAGACTACTTGATCTATCTTCTAAAATACAAATAAAAAACTTACATTTGGCTAAAATACATATAATTTTAAATCCAAGATGAAAAAATAAAAAAAAATAAGATTTTTTTTTCTTACAGTACCACTTAAAACAGATTTATTATTTTAAAATCAGTTTATCCAAATTCGACAATAACCCTATTCATTTAGGATGATGCAAGGCTAACCAAAAATAGAACAAATAAAAAAAAAAGAAAGACTTAACTGATACAGCATGACATGAATCATTTAATATTTCTTGGCTTGTATTTTTAAACCAATATAACATTATCCATTTATTTATCATTTATAATAATTGATCATATTATTGTTAAGTTTGTATTATATTTAATTCGTATCGTATTATTATTATTATATCTTGTCAACATGACTAATTTATTAGGCCACGTAGGAGGTTCTTGGAAGCACACACAAGTGTCGAGCTATTTCTAGTGTCATCGTGAAGCTAAGCAATTATGTAATAATGGAAATATAACAAAATCCTATAGATATATTATAACGCCGGTCGACCATGAGAATTGACCACGTGTCTTATGAAAGCCAAGTCAGTGGTAAGCNGAGCTATTTCTAGTGTCATCGTGAAGCTAAGCAATTATGTAATAATGGAAATATAACAAAATCCTATAGATATATTATAAGGCCGGTCGACCATGAGAATTGACCACGTGTCTTATGAAAGCCAAGTCAGTGGTAAGCACCTGTTTCCTAACCATATTCTTTAATGAGATTTGGCTGGACATAAACAAATGTAATAGTTATTAAGCACAACTTGTCATCGTTTGTCTGGCAGTTACAATTTGCTATTTCAGTACAAGATTATAATACGAGTTTAGAGTTCTATTACGACACCGAAAATCTTTTTTGCTACTATATTTCTATTTTTTTAACTAATAAAAACGCATCATGCCTAATTTTTTTTTTTTTTTTTTTTTATCAATGGTTATAAATTATTTAATTTCAAAATACAGTGGTTGAGATTGACGNATTTTTTTTTTATTTTTTATCAATGGTTATAAATTATTTAATTTCAAAATACAGTGGTTGAGATTGACGAATGTACAATGCCGATTTTTTGATATGCCGAGTTAATTTTGATATGACGTGTGACTAACTATACACAATGTAAAAATATTTAAAACTCATGCTTCACCAAGTTTTAGTTTAGTTCACTAATGATTGATTTTTTACGTCTTTCTCTTTAAAGATTTTAATGTGTCTTTTGAATATTTCTTCACTTCTTTGTGATTACTTTCTCATCTGTTATAGATATATTATTTGAAAGATATAGGAGTGATATACTAATTTATATGAAAGAAAACTGTCGACCCGATTCAATGTACTAATAAAACCATTTAACAAATGCAATTCGCATGTATTGAATCAAAGTTTAACACGACAAGATTCTACAACTATTCAGTGTTCTATGTTTCGCTTTCAGACAGAGGTCGCGGTTGCATGTGAGAGATCAAGTAGACTCATCCTCATATAACAGCCTTATTTGACCGTTTACATTTGCCACTTCATGTGTCTTTTATAAATTTAATGGGTTTTTATGGGGCCATATATATGGCTAGAGTCAAATCCGATTAGCAATCTTTTTTATAAGACCCTTCGCCTTTATAATTTACCCATTGTAGACTTCCTATTAACTAGGTTAATTTGAATGAAACTTGATTTCTGAGTTTTTATCAATAATAAACTCGTAAGTAATCAATGAGCGCCGAATTTATGACGCTCAAATTTATAGGTAGTCGTCAATTAACTATATGCCACTGTGTTACATGTGAGTTTCACTCTACGAAAATTATGTGGGTAATTTTAAAAAAATTGATTTTAACGGACACACAATGGAGCTTATTGAAATTAAAATAATCATGTAGAAAATTAAGTAAAAGCATTTCTAATTCTTCTGGGAAATTGGTTGGCTCATAGTGCAATAAAACCAATATATCATTACTGTTTCTAGAAAACAAAAGTAACCATATGTGCTCTTACTAGGAATTTACATGTTTCAAGCTACCATGCATATCCTGAACCCAAGAAAGAAGCAGCTAGTTATATGAGAGGAAGACAAATAAGTGAATCAGAAGAAAACTTGAATTCTGGCATCAGAAGAAAAGTTGATTTGGAACTCCCACCAAAAAATGGAACTTTGGGGAGGGAGAGAGAGAGAGAGAGAGGAGGAAGAAATAGTGCACCTAGTTGTTTGGTTTTAAGTCAGCGTCATCAGGTTTTATGGTTTAGTGATCAGCATGCAAAGCTTCAATATCCTTTTAATGATTAGAGGCAGAAAAGAGAGAGTAAAAAAATCAAACAAAAATAACATATACCCACCATGTAGTCCAAGAGTTTGGCCCCATAAAAACAGCAAAGAGACCAGAAACTTCCACTCGCAGGCACCAGATTGTGGTGTCCATACATAAGTTGAGAAGTATGATTTCTAATCTCAAATTAAACAGCAAGAGTTGATCAATNCAGAAACTTCCACTCGCAGGCACCAGATTATGGTGTCCACACATAAGTTGAGAAGTATGATTTCTAATCTCAAATTAAACAGCAAGAGTTGATCAATAATAAGGGTTAACTTTGCTCCATGGTATTAGAGTACGAACACATAAGAATCTCTTTTAAGATGGGGTTTTGAAAAAGAAGTAAGGTATTTATTTTTTGAGCAAGTGAATTAACGTACAAAATTTTCTAGTAATATGAGTCCTTTCTTGTAATCCTCAAAAGCGTATTTAATTGAAATGCTAAATGTTTTTCCTTTGATTTGACATGAATACGAATTCTCGATATCAAAAAGTCTGGTAAATCATTACTAAAAATAATGCTAAATGTTTTTCTTTTGATTTGACATGATTACGAATTCTCGATATCAAAAAGTCTGGTAAATCATTGCTAAAAATAAGTATCGATATCTCATGGGCCTCTTTTGGAGTTAAGTGATGATCTATTTTTTGTCCTTTTCTTTGTGAGTTTTATTATATTCTTCTTTCGAACATCTTTACGGTGATGCACATTGCATATACTAGGAAATACGATCTTAATGTTTTCTCTTTTAGGCTGGTAGATCAGTAAACCATGATACCAATTCAAAAGGATGATATCAAGCTCAACTATATACAAAAAGTTTTTTTTTCCCAACTACTCTGGAGGGGCTATGTGAATTCTATTTTATCATTGTACTTTCTCACGTAGACTTAAANCCTTTACGGTGACACATTGCATATACTAGGAAATACGATTTTAATGTTTTCTCTTTTAGGCTGGTAGATCAGTAAACCATGATACCAATTCAAAAGGATGATATCAAGCTCAACTATATACAAAAAGTTTTTTTTTCCCAACTACTCTGGAGGGGCTATGTGAATTCTATTTTATCATTGTACTTTCTCACGGGTTATATTTTCCACTCGATCACGTAGACTTAAATTCAATTTTATTATCTAATTTAAGGCAATTTCAATATGTAAAAAATAAAGCTGCTACTTAAGAGTATATTCAGTTGTACTCTCTCTATTTAGAAAACATTTTTTTTTTAAATAGAGAGCATTTTTTACGAAAGCTAAAAATAGTTATAGACAACTTTAATGGATTCTCTAGTCTAGACGAAAAATAGTATTATAATCAATAACATTTAACGAAAAATATATATGTGCCATATTTTCATTCATTTAGAATAGAATAAAGAGTAAATTAGATTCTCAAAATGTAGAGAGCTAAATAAGACTCTGTATTTTAATTAGTCTAAATAGAAAGTCTATTGAAACTTGATTTTATGTGGTTGACATTCTAAAATAAAGAATGAAATGAGAATAAAAAGTTTATTGAAGATGCTCTTAGATGACTGAAATAATGTATCGAAACAAAATTTTGATCTTTATAAGTGATATATCATTGAATAAAATTGAGAAGTGTATTGGAGGAGATTTTATTTCGACTATATTGTGCATAAAAGATAATGAAATGCAAGTAGTTTGCAAGTCCTTTCTTGTGTTTCCTAGTCGCAGTCAATAAGTTATTTCTTCAGTTTCCTAGTCGCATTAAATGGATTTCACGTTTTTTAAACTAAATTAGTATTAGCATAATACACTTTGAAACTTTTCAATTGAAACCTTATTTTTACAAACTGAATATTCTATATAAAATGGATAGATTTAAATCACGTTTTTTTTATGAATAATAACAAAATAAAAAACTAAAAAATAAAAAGAAAAAGAAACAATGATTTTCTAAGGTTCGCCTTCTTTTCCATCACAGTCCTTTGACATTCGAAACCATGTGGACAAAAAAGTGAGTTGATTACTGTACGGCCAAAAAATTTTAATATCATACCTCTAAAATTTATTATTT